GATTTTTTACAGAGAGGAAGGGAGAGGGGATAGAGAGTTAGAAACATCGATGAGAGAGAAACATCGATCAGCTGCCTCTTGCACACCTCCCACTGGGGATGTGCCCGAAACCAAGGTACATGCCCTTGGCCGGAATCGAACCTGGGACCTTTCAGTCCACAGGCCGACGCTCTATCCGCTGAGCCAAACCGGTTAGGGCTAAAAAGATTTTTTTTAAAAATACCTGACCTTAAAGCTCAAGGAACTAGATAAAGAAAATAAACTAAGTCCAAAGTTAGCGTAAGGAAGAAAAAAATAGAGATTAGAGCAGAAATAAATGAAATAGAAAAATTAAAGATTGATTTTTTTAAAGATAAATGAAATTGACATTCTTTAGTTAGATTAAGAAAAAAGATAGAAGATTCAAATAAATAATACCAGAAATGAAAGAGGACATATTATATCTAATACCACAGAAATAAAAATGATCATGAAACTGTTATGAACAATTATATGCCAACAAATTGAGTAACAGAAGAAATGGATAGATCCCTAGAAACACAATCTATACAGAATGAATCATAAAAAAATTAAAAATCTGAACAAACCAACAACGAATAAGGAAATTATGTCAAGAATTAAAAACATGTCAATCAAGAAAACTCTAGAATCATATGGCTTCACTAGTGAATTCTACCAAATATTTGAAGAGTGAATATTAATCCTTCTTAAACTCTTTCAAGAATCGAAGAGGAGAAAAACCATCCAAATTCATTTTATAAGGCCAACATTTTCCTGATGCCAAAGCCAGACAAAGACACTAGAAACTAAAGTGCAATATCCCTGATGAACAACTGCAAAAATCCTCAACGAAATACTCTCAAACCAAATTCAACAGCATATTAAAAGAATCATACACTGTGACCAAGTGGAACTTACTAGTATATGTAGGATGCAAGGATAGTTCAACATATGCAAATCAATTGTATTTTTCTAGAAACAGAGAAATCGGGGCCCCACCCTAAACCTCCTGAATTAGCAGCTTTGCAAGTGACAGCTGGACTCAGTACCTTTGAGGCACTCCTCAGGTGATGGTGGTGTGCAGCCAGGGTTAAGAACCCACTGGTACTGATGGAAGGCGTTGAGAGCACAGTGAGTCAGGGAAGCTGAGGAGTGTAGATCATTCTTTCACCAAGTTTTCCAGGTGAAAACAGGAGTGAATTCAATTGTAAAGCCGCCAAAAGGGTTAGCCGGGTTCAGGAAGATGTGAGTCTCATGTAGGCTGAGATGAAGGAGCCTGGGACAGAAGAGCTGAAGTACGCCTGGGGAAAGGGGAAGGGGAAAAAAGCAACTTCGTGTTTCTGGACTTTCTGTGAGTTGTCAGGCATTTTATATAGACCAGTGGTTTTCAACCTTGGCTGCACATTAGAATCACCTGGGAACCTTTTTAAAATCCTGATTTCTGGGCCTCATCCTCTGGAAATTCTGTTTCTTTGTTATGGGGTGGGGCCACACCATTAGTAAACAAAGAAACAGAATTTCCGGAGGGTGAGGCCCAGAAACCAGGATTTTAAAAAGATTCCCAGGTGATTCTAATGTGCAGCCAAGGTTGAGAACCACTGATATAGACTATCACCGTTATTATCCCCTTTACCGGTGATAAAAAAAAACACCACACCATGATTATTATTTTGAAGCATATATTACCGCATCCAATTTACCGTGAGACAGTGGAGCTCCGGGAAGCCAAATGAATAACAGTAAGGACCAAAACCATGCCAAGGGCTGAGCTCTTTCCTCTGCATCTGCCTTGGACCAAGGTCTTGGAGGCAGGGGGAGGGATGGGGGCCAGGAATAGC